AGATGGAGGAAAGTGGGCTGATCCTGTTCTTCCTCCTTCTTCTTCCTTACCTCCATGTTCTTGGTGATGTTGGCACTCACAGATTGGTTTAGAGTAGAAAAGTACTCTGTAATATAGGTAGTGGGTATTAGGGGATAACTATAAACATGTAATATGTAATATATCATATAAAAGATAGCAGCAGGCCTGGGTGGGGGAAGAGAAGAAGAAGACAGCAGACAGAGAGGATGTCAGGGTGTGTGTGTGCCTCTACCCAGGCTGCTGACCAAGCAGCTGCAGCCCGAGAAGAAAATCTTTTAGATAACCAACAATAAACTGCCTTGAGACTGAACAGCTAAAGCCTGCAGAGTTTTTCTTTGGAAGCACGGGTTGGAGGAGGAATTTGACCACCTTATGAGACCCCAGAGCAAGGCTGGGTTCCCACAAGGGATCAGAAGGAGCAGCCAAGGAGGGCCAGGGCTGGAGGCCACGGAGGGCTCGGACCCCAGGTGTTTTAGGCAGCGTGGGTTCAGCCACAAGAGCTGAAATGCACCAGTTCACCCAGGTGAGAGCACTGAGCCTCCAGGTGACCCCAAAGCTCCCAGCCATGAGGAGGAGCAGGGGCACCACGAGAGGTGTCTCCACGGCTGGGGACCCACCGGTGTCCAGATCCCAGGGGTGACGCCCCCATGCTCAACCCCAAAGGGTTTCACCTGCAAATCCCGTTTTCTCACCCATCTCCCAACAGGCTCAAACTGGTTTCTGCTCCAACCCCCACTGATGAAACCACTTCCACTCTCCAGGCTCACGTCCAAGTTTCCCATGGGCAAAGCCTGTCCTTGGCCCCCAGTGGCTCCGTGTCCAGGGATCATGGATACTGAGAGCTCAGGGAAGGCGCCTGGGGACAGAAGAGTGCTGGGAGGTGGGGACGAGAGGGACCTCACCCAGTTTGTCACCAGCAATGTGAGAAGAGTCATAAATCCATCAGAAATGGGGATCCACCACAGGGATCAGCCTGAGCTGGGTTTTGGGAAGGGCTCAAGTTTTGACTTCTCACAGCTCAACCCATCAAGTCCCACTCTTGGCACCAGCTCAGCTTCCCACCCCACTGCTCCTCCCTAGCACCAAGCCTGTGGGACATCAACTCCGAGATGTTTCCTGCCAAAAAACCAGGCACAAAGGGGAGAGGAAATAATCCCCAGCCCTTCAGAGCTGTGAAAATACCTGGTGAGAGCGCAGAGTTTCGCTCTGCAGTGGCCCCTCCCTTGGCTCTTCAACACCTGCAAAGCAAAACAGAAAAAACCAGCCCAAAAAATGCTGGGACCAAGCCCAGGCACTCAGCGTCACCAGGGAGGTTCCAGGTGGAACCACTGACCTAAAGAGGTTTTTCTTCACCAGATTTGCCTTGGCCACTGTGGCACCTCCAGCTTTGGTGGGGAAGAGGAGGCCACAGACTCCTTCATGAGGAAAACAGGAGTGAAAGCGCTGATCCCCAGGGCCCCGGGCTCGGAACCACAGCTGGGGGACAGATGGGGACGTTCTCCAGTCCCTGCCCTGGGTTAGAGCCTGGGCTGGGCTCTCAGAGCAGCAAGGAGAGCCTTCATTCTTCTCTATTAGCCATAAACCCCTCAAAATGAAGCATCCCTTGGTTTGACCCCACTTCAGTAATCTGGGTTAAATTTAAGGGCAGGTTTAAACATAAACTTCCCTGCCCATGGCAGGGACATGGAACTGGATTTAAGGTCCCTTCTAACCGAAATCATCTGGGATTCCATGACTGTGGCAAGCACATTTCTCTCCCTTTCAGGATTTTTCATAGAGGTGCACAGAGAGAGATGAAAGAGAAAAAAAATATATTTCTGCTCCTTGTTTTTCCTATGTGTTTGGAGAATTGTTTACTTGGAGTGAGTGCTTGATTGGATTCTGGTGAGGATTGTTTGAGCCTGATGGCCAATCCAATCCAATCCAATCCAATCCAATCCAATCCAATCCAATCCAATCCACCTGTGTCTAGACTCAAGAGAGTTGTGTTAGAGAATGTAGTATGTAGTTTTAATCTCTTCCTTTTTATAAAGTATATGAATGTATTTTAATATAGTTATAATAAATAAGTCATTCAGCCTTCTGAATTGAGTCAGACATCATCATTTCTTCCCATTGGGTTCACCTGCATTTACAATGCATGACAAACTCATCGTGTTCCCAGGCTGATTTTGGACAGCCACAGCAGGACCATGTCCCACCATTCCCATGGGAGCAGCCTTGGCTCCTCCTGCCTCTTCCCACTCCTGGAGATCAGCTCATCCTCATGAGAGCTCCTGGGACAAACAGGAAAAGGGCCGGATGGGCAATGGATGAGCTTCTCCAGAGTCGATGGATGTGGAGTCTGGACATGCTCCAGGAGTTCCCCCTGATCAGCTTTTCTGGTCCCTGTTCCATCGGAGCAGGATGCTCTGGTAGCCTCAAAGCTGCTTCTCCAGGGATGTTCCCAGAGCCAGAATTTTACTCCAGACCATCCCAATTCGGCTGTGATGTCACTCTGATGTCACTGTGATGTCACCAACAGCATCCCCAGCTTGGGGCCTCCCACCCCCAACACCCCCAAAAAGAGAGACTCACCACAGTCCTTGGAGGGGAGTTCTGGGAGCCTCGGAGAAGGGAGGAGGATGAGGAAGGGCAGGGGAGGAAGGATGGGCAGGGAAGGACGGACAGACAGGCAAACGCTGCCACCTGCCGTCATGAAAACCTCTCAAAGTGCCGAACTGGGATGAATTCGGCTCTGCGGGATCCCGAAGCTCAGGCTCCTGCTCTTCCAGCCCGGGAGAGCCACCGGCAGCTCCATCCCGCTGGGAAAGGGAGCGTGACTGGCTTTGCTTGGAATGGGGAAGCGCCAGGTCCCAGAGGGCTGCAGAGAATCCCCCGGGGGCTGTGGGGACAGGACCCCACGGGACATTCCCTGAAGATGCTCCAGCACCGGGAGCCGCGGTGAGGAAGCCGAGGAGCCCAGAGGAGCATCGGCCGAGCCGAGCATCCCCTCCCGGAGCTGCCGCCTCCGCAGCGTGACCCCCGGGCCGGGGGGACATTGCAAACGGCCACATCTGAGCTAATCTGGTGGCACTAATGACAAACATCCCGCCCGAGTGACGGGCAGCAGAGCTGGCTCTCTCCTCCCCAGATTCAGCTAATTAATGTCCCCCTCCCTCGGGTGATGTCAGGCTCCCTCAAAGGCCGTGAGTGGCCCTCATTAAAGGCTCCTCAGGATGAGCGTCCCCCGAACAACGACCTTATTTTGACAGTGGCGGTAATTACAGAACTCTCCGTGGTGGAATGACAATAATTACCCAGGCGAGAGCAGAAAGGTCCCAGGGGGAGAGCACAGAAAGAAATCTGCACCTGGAGCCCTCATCTCTCCTGGTGGGAGAGACAAAGCCCAGCTCCCTAGGACTGGCTCTTTCCTGGGAGAAAAGGCACATTCAGACCCCCAAACACCGAACCCTGGACATTCTTCCTTGGCTGGAAATGCCCCAGAGATCTCAAACCTGCCCTGGAAACACCTCCTGCCATCCCCACTGGGAATGCAGAGCCCCCAGGAGCCCACCTGCCCCCAGGTGGGGAGAACACCAGGGAGCTGGATCTGCTCCCACCCACCCTCCTCCGGGCCCAGATCCAGCTCTTTAGGGCTGCCCTCAATTTTCCCCTTCTCCTTTCTCCTTTTTCCATTGCTGGATTCAAGGATTTGAAACAAACGAGCCCAGTTCCTATGGGGCACCCAGGAAAACTCTGAGTTGCAGGTGCTCCCAAGGCTCCTGGGCTGAGCCTGGGTATCTCACAGGGATCCAGAAGTGCAACCCCTCATGGGCCGCATTTCACCCCCAAATCCCATAAATCACAGGCAGCATCCCTAGTTTCAGGTCTGCACTCAGGGAACCACACCAGCCTGGGATCACAAGTGGATCTGCCTGGCTGAGGAGCTGCAGCAAGAATTTCACATGGCTGGAAGTGTTTGGAGACACAAATCATTGGTTTATGCCTTTGCTCTTTTTTCCTTGTTTCTTATCTCCAGTGAAGGTGCTGGAAAGGGGAGCCCGTGGGCAGGAATCCGTGCAGGACACACTGTGCCAGCAAGAGGCCACCTCACCCGAGAGGAGGAAACCCACAGGTCAGTGCTTTGGTCCAAAAAGTAGGGGGGGAAAAAAGCAAATATAAGAAAAACAGCAACAACAATTAAAAAAAACTTCATTGAAGGCGTCAATTGGAAAATCCACCAGTAACAATATTGTCTGCAGCAACCCCACTCCTGAAAAGCTGTAATGATTCACAGTGACCCGTCTGAGGAAAAGCAGGATACCTGTGACCCACCTGTCAGCTCTGGGCATCCTCCAGACGAGCTTAAAAGCACCAGAGAAGAGAAGGGTTCAGCCAGAAGCAGCTCGAAGGAGGAAAATCAGATCTGGTGTGGAGGGAGCAGCTCAGTCCCCAAGGTAGGTACCTCTTCCTTCCTCCCTTCATCCTCTCAATCTCCAGAGGAATCTAACCAGGTGAAGAAAGCATTTGGTGATGGGCAAGAGAAGTCTGATTTTTGGCAAATAGAGGGTGGGAGGTGGTATTCTATTCCTGCACAATTTCTGAGGTGTCCAGCAAAAACGAGGAATGTAAAATATGAATAAACCTGCTCATCTGGAAAGTGCTTTTCCAAGCAGTGGGAAAGTGCTCCAGCACTGTGGTGATAATTCCAGGATAGAAATGTCACCCCCAGATAGAAAAGGGAGGTTTGGGATAAAGTTCATTGCAATTTTATCTTTGAGTGTCGTTCTGCGTGCCCGCACCGGGAATGTGCCCACAGGGAAGGGTGAGGATGGGATTTGCCCCACACACCCACCCCAGTCCTGCCCTCACCCCTGGAAGGGGCTGGTCCACGTGGAGCAGCCCCGGCTGTGCTGCCAGGATGTCCTGCAGGGCCTGGGGGCTTGGTGGGGATGGCAGCCAGGAAATTCCCTGGATTTCTGCCCCCCCAGGAGCTCCGATGGTGCGGTGGCTGTACCTGTCAGGGCTGGTGTTCGCCGTGCTCATCCCGGCCGGGTGGCAGCTGGCTCCCGAGGACTTGGAGGACCTGTCCAGGTACGGGGCTGGGTGGAGCAGGGCTGTGGGAGCAGCTTATCCCTCTCCATTCCTGTGGCTGTCCCAGATCTCCATTCCAGTGTTCCCGTTTATTTCGTATGGATCCAAACAAACTCCCTCCTAACTCCCCACAGCCCAGGAAGGGACATTCCCTGTAGGGAATCCCGGGATTTCCTGCCTGGGTCAGAGCAGAGACACCCTGCCCCAGGTCAGCCCGGCTGGGGCTGAGCCCCATCTGGGCTGGTGCTCCCATGGCACAAAGTCCTTTGGGAACCTTCTGCGGGGAATCCCAAAATCACCCTGGAGCTGCTGGAGGATGATCCAAACCTCGGAGCAGCCCCACGTTCCTGCTCTGACATGGGAAGCAGGGACCAGGGTGGAAGTTGGGATCCACCAAGCCAGAAAGAGGGGAATGATTTGGGATAGGACACTGGATGTATTGGATGCCAGGAAAACCCAGGCCAGGCTTGGCAAATCTCCAGAAACTGAAAGAAGAACTGTGTGTTTGATTTGTAGGAATCATATTGAATATTCCAGATTTATTCCTCTGCACTGTTCCATCTTTTCTGGGGAATGATCTGCACAGGGACAGAGTTTGGAGGGCACAGCCCTGCCCTGGGCATCGCCTGGAGGAGGATCCTGCTGGGGTGTCTATTAAACCCCATTTTCCTCCCTTCTCCTCCCACCCCAAGCAGATGGAAGTTGTCCGGACCCCAGAACTCCCAGAGCTTCCTGTCCCACATCAAGCGGCACTCGGAGGGGACCTTCACAAGCGACTTCACGCGGTACCTGGACAGGATGAAGGCCAAGGACTTTGTGCATTGGCTCATCAACACAAAGAGGTGCCGGGAGCAGGGAGAGGGGTGGGATTGTGCTGGGAAACAACCACCCACCACCCCAATCCTGATCCTGATGGAGAGCTGGGGAGGGACCTGGAACAGTGCCAGGACACAGGGAATGGCTCCCACTGCAGAGGGTAGGGATGGATGGGATATTGGGAAGGAATTCCTCCCTGTGAGCGTGGGGAGGCCCTGGAATGAATTTCCCAGAGCAGATGTGGCTGCTCCATCCCTCGCAGTGTCCAGGGCCAGGTTGGAGCACCCTGTCGTAATGGAAGGTGTCCTCCCTTGGCAAGGGGTGGAATGAGATGAGGTTTGAGGTCCCTCCCCACCCAAACCATAAAATCCGTGGATCTGGTGCCAAGGCAGTGTTGGACTCCCTTTTCCTGTTGCCCAACAGCTCCTGGGGATCCTCTGGTCTCCTGTAATAAGATCAGGAAAATGGAGGCATTTATGGTGGGATTGGAACTCTGGGATGGGAAGGGGCTGTTTTGTCCTTCCCGTGATTTGTCCTCACATTTTCCTCCTCATTCCAGCCTTATCCTCCTGGGATTGTACATGGGATCACTGGCGTTTCTGCTCCAGCCACTCCCAAGGGGCGGCTCCTCCCTGAGCAATGGAACCCTCCCTGCCCTTTCCCAGCTCCTGATTTTAGCAGGAGTTTCCATGCCCTGAAGCTCTTTGGGGTTTGTTTTTAAGGTACAATTAACAGCAGATCCAGGCAGCAGCTTTCCAGCCGCGTCCACGTGGAAGGTTGGGCCTCTCCTCACCTGCCGGGATCGGAGCTCCA